TTCTCAATAAAATAAAATTTTAAAAATAAATAAAATAAAAATAAAAAATCATAATTAGATTATGTAAAACCATAATTAGATTGTGTCCACTATCTTAACAGCTCACAATGAGGATCAAATTTCAACACATGAAACCTTGAGGCATGTACTTAAACCCAATCCAAAGTATAGTACTACCTTCTAGGTTCTGCAGTTGATTAGTTTAACACAGAACTTGACCTTTAAAAAAAGGCAAGTTCCTGACTGAGGAGATAGCACAGCAGTCTAAACACCTGCCTGGAAAGTGCAAGGCCCTGAGTTCAATACCAGGTACCACATGGGACACTGGCCCCACCCACCCCACTGGAGTGCTGAGCCAGCCCCAAACCCAGCGTGGTGGTGTATGCCTATAATCCCAGCACTAGGGGGCCGGGGAGATGGCTCAGTAGAATAAGGGCTTGCCTGGCAAGCCCAAATATCTGAGTTCAATCCCCGGTTCCGCCAAAAAAAAAAAAAATTGTAATCCCAGCACTGGGGAGACAGAGACAGAACCTCTATGCGTCCAAGCTGTGTAATGAGACCCTGTACCAAATCATTTTTTTAAATAGTTAAGTTCCTTTTGTTTTGCTAGTCAAAAGTTTTCCTCAGAAATATGAATGGGGAAAATTAAATGTTATTAAATGTTACAATGTAAACATTGTTTAAGCCTTAAATGTTCCAGAGGCATTACAGTTTTTTAATCAAGCTCAAACTCTCCTACTTCAAGGTCTATTTCCTGTCTTCCACTTTATTCTTTAGCCCCAAATATGATTTCTGCTTCTACCATTCTACATAATTATGGTATGATACATCACCATAAGCCCCTAAATTATCAATCCAATTGTCTTTTCCCAATTTTTACTCTGTCACTTCTCTATAGTACATCACTGTTACCCCAAGATTTCTTGAAATTATTTCTTATTTTAATTTCCATAATACTACCCTTGCCTGATTCTTCACTTTCTGTCTTTCCTTCACCCTAATCTGAGGGTTTAACAAGATTACATTCTTGGGCAGTTTGCTCATTTTATCATAGTACTTTTCCACAAAACTCATCTATAATTTATGCTTCATGTATTAACTCTACAAGGACAGTTCCTAAATCTTTATCTGTATATGCCTTTTAAGCATTTTTATCTGTAGACTTTACTACTACCTCAAACTTAAAAAGTACAAAACCAAACTCAACTTTATTGCAGACCAGTCTTTTTATATACTCTCCTATGATGCTATTATTATCATGAGTTCACTAGATATGTCATCTCATGGAGTACTTGCTAAAGAAGGGAAATATGTATGTGTGCTGCCTTATCTGAAATGAACTCCCAGTAGTGACAGACCATATTATAATATTTCTGAACTAAAGATGCATGCCTAAATTCAGAGTGATAAGACAGACTTTTTATTATGTTATTACTAGGATCCCAATCGTCTCTACTATGAGCCAGCTGAACTGAAGCTATTTGAAAACATTGAGTGTGAATGGCCACTGTTCTGGACATACTTTATCCTTGATGGAGTCTTCAGTGGCAACACAGAACAGGTAATGAGGTAGGGAAAGAACTTCTCAGCAGGCTGTTTTTATTGTTAGGTCTCTTTTCAGTTTATAGCTATACTGACCATATCCAAATGGAATTCTTCATAATAAGGAAGAAAGGGTTGTTCCCTAGAGACTAGTAGTTGAAGGTACTAAATTAAAATTTGGGATACCTGGATTATTTTGTTTAATTTTTTATTTGTTTTATTGATTGTGAGTGAATGATTGATTGTTTGGCTTTGGGGCTGTTGAGGTTTTCTTGCTGATTTTTGATTTTGGAATTTTTATTTTTGCTTTAATCTTAACAATTGAATAGTCCAAGTATTGTCACTCACTCCTTCAATTTGTATGTTATAATCACTTTTCTCTCTTCATTAAAAAGCATATCAAAAATTTAAAAAATATTTCAGGGAATACAAATGTTAACTACTTTGACTTGATTATTACACACAGTATACATGGAGAAAATTTTCACAATATACTTCATAAATTTGTACAACTGTAATATTTTTTAAAGTTATCCCTAAAATTCTTTGAATTTCACAGGTAAAAATATGTTGTAAGTTCAAAGTACAGTGAGTTCTTCTATAATGACACTATACATTCCTAAAAATTATGTGTATTCAAGAAATAAATGCTAAGTCCTGGACAGCATGGCTGGCAAGAGGAATATGAGTTCACACTTCTCCCTTTATCCATTGCTCTGGAACTGTTAGGCCAAGGAGGAATCTGAGTTCCTGCTCTTCCCTTCCTCCTTCAACCCAGGACACTTGCTTGGAGTGGTGGGAAGAGTATGAGTTGAGCTCCTCACATCCTCCATTGACCTGGGATAGTGTGGCTAGAAAGAAGTCTGAGATTCACTCCTCCCTCCCTCCACTGGTGTTGCTCAGGGCTCGGAGAAACTGCTGAAACACCAGCAACACAGTAGAACCTTTGCTAAAGCACACATGATAGACAGGCAACTAGAGGCACAGGAATATCCCTTGCAATATTAGCAATACAAGCAAACAGATGATCTCTAACCTTTGTTTTTGTTTAATTCTACTCATTCACTTCTTTTTTGTCAACTGTCTTGCTTGATTCTATGATACTTTCATGCAGGTAAACATTTTCTCTTCTTTTTATGACTCCTAGGCCTTCTCTTTCAATCCTTCCCTCCTGTGTCCTATAATTACATAAAACCTGGATGATTATCCTGTGCCCTCCAACCTTGTTGCTAGTGCATCTAATCTCATTCATCTCTCCATCCTGCCCCCATCTTCCTGAACCCCCTCATGGGATACAATCACTCTACTAAGTGAAAAATTGTTGCATACAAGTTCCTGGTATAAGTTGATTATATTTCTGTAGACCTTTCTCCTGTAGTTATAAATATCAGACTAAAAGTTACCACAATTTGTCAGTATGCAGACTGTACTTGAGTCTATTGTTATTGCCAACTAAACTAAACAGGTATTTCATAAATATTATAACAAGCCTCCTCCATGACAACACTGTGATTATAAGGAGTCATTACCATCAGCATAGTCCAGTACAAAAGGAATGGGCTGTAAGTCAAATTGATAGCAACTCATTAGATTTAGTATATTGGGAAGGTAAGTTCTTGGGATAAACATAAATACCAAGAACCCCCACATCTGGAGGAATAAAACCCTCTGAAGAAAGTCTCAACACCAGTGATAAGGCTACATAACATAAGAAATCTGTAAGTATCAATACAGAAAAGAAAAGAAAATAGAAAATGACAAGATGAAGAAGGAAGATGCAGTCCTAAATACCCAGCCCATGCAGAACAACTACAGAGCACAAAGAGATAGAGGAAATCAGAAGACAACAAATAGAACTTTCTGAAATGATAGCAGCAAAGAGAAGAAAAAAATGGAAGAGACCATAGAAAAAAATAATCTCTAAGGTGCAAAAGGAAATGACTATCAAAATGAAACACATGAAAGCAAACACAGGTAAACAAATAGAGGAGCTCAGCAAAATGATGGAAATCATGCATGCCCAACATAGACAAGAAATAGAATCAGTGATAGATACAGATCCAAACAGAAATGTAGGATATCAGAAACTCCACTGAAACTATATGCAACAGATTGAAGGTGAGGATAGAATATTAGATGTAGAAGATAGGAATGACAGAAGAAAAAGATACTTTAAAAATCAGAAGAGACCAGGAAAAATCAATCCATCAGCTGCAGGAAAAGCAAAGAAAAACAACATAAGATTGATTGGAATCAGTGAGAAAGGTGAAGATAGGTCAAAAGCCATTAAAAAAACCTCTTCACAGAATTAATGGCAGAAAAGTTCCCATACATGAAGGGCTGGGGAGATGGCTCAGTGGAATAAGCGCTTCCCTGGCAAGCGCAGGGACCTGAGTTCTATCCCCGGTTCTGCAAAAAAAAAAAAAGAAGAAGAAGAAAAGAAAAGTTCCCATACATGAATAAAGAATTTCACACAAATAAATGAAGCACATAGAATTCCAAATAGACATAACCAAAACAAATCTATAAAGCCCCTGCAAGCAGGCACAGGGGCTAGGATTCGATCCTCAGGCCTGAAGTGCCGGCCCCATCCCTATGGCGCACTGAGATGGCGATTGAAACTGGGCATGGTGGCATGCACCTGTAATCCCATGTTTTGGAAGGCTGTAAACAGGAAGATCATTATGAGTCTGATCTAGTAGTGAGACCCTGGACACCCTGTAGACCCTTCCCTAAAAAACACACACACACAAAAAAAAATCTAAACCAAGGCATATAAAAATCAAGATTCTAACTCCACCTCAATGGACCTACTGGGAAGGAGCTGGGGGACTGGCAGCTAGAGCGGCACAGCAGGCCCACTCCACTTTGGTGGGTCTAACAGGAGGAGCTGCAAGACTGGCAGCCAGCAGGGCCCAGCAGTCTACTTGGACTGGGCTCATCTGGAGAGAGCCAAACACAGCAAACAAACTCCAGCCAGGTCCTACCAGTTGTGTTCAAGTTTAGCAGATCAAGACCTGGTGAACTGAGTTGTATTTCTGGACCCAACTGAGCCCTGACCAAGGCTCAGACCTACAGGAGCATCCTTGCATGGCAGCAAGTAGCTGGAGTCACTGCTTGGGAGACCACAGGTACATGAAAAGGAGATGTCTAGACAGAACTCAGGGGAAATAATTTAAATACAGATTCCCAAGCTAAGATCTACTTTTTTACACAGCTATAATGTTTGCTCTTATGGTCTAAAGTACAAACCCATTTGTTACAAAAGTTTGTCAATTTCTAAATTTCACTGGCTGTTTTTAGTATTGCTAATTGTACCACTATAAATAGGAAGCCATCTTAACCACATCTTTTTCCTTGGGTATTAATATCAAGAGGTGCTTGGGTAATAACCTCACCAAAGCCCTACACTGAAGGACAGAGGACAGTGCACACAGAAAACAAAATCTCACTCAGTCAATACAGAAGACATAATCATGGGACACACACAAAACAAGAATCTCTGACACAGGAGAAATACCTAAAAAATAGAATCTTTACAAGAGAGGCTCTGGCTGTGGTGATACAGCTACCTACTGTCAAACTTTTACAAAAACATATCACAGAAATTGAAATAAAGAATTTTCTCTGAAATAGAAAATGACAAAAAGAAGGAGCAAAATGCATCCTCAGGCCCCAAGCCCACCCAGAATAAACACAGGAGACATCAACATAGAAGAAATTGGAAGCCACATGCCTGAAATCTCTGAAATAATAACATCTGAAGTAAAGAAACAACTGCAGAAGAATATAGACTAAATCAGATCAGAAATAATCTCACAGGTCAAAAAAAAGAAATGGAAAGTGCAAGCCCGGCAAGTGAGTGAGACGACCTGGGCTGCGGGATCCTGAACAGACCCAGAGCGCAGGCCCGGCAAGTGAGTGAGATGACTTGGGGCCCTCCGGATCCTGAATAGACCCAGAGCGCAGGCCTGGCGAGTGAGGGAGACGACCGACCGAGGGCCTGGCGGGATCCTGAATAGACCCACAGTGCAGGCCTGGCGAGTGAGTGAGACGACCTGGGGCCCTCCGGATCCTGAATAGACCCAGAGCACAGGCCCAGCACGGAACCCTTCAGCAGAACTCCCTGTAAAGAGGCTAGAGGCAAGACTCACCCAGCTGATTCAGGAACAGAACATCTTCACAGAGAGACACAAAGGGTTCAACTCTAACACCTGCAGCAGAAAGAAGTGGAGCACAGCAGCCAGATCCAAGCAACACCCACCTGGA